GAAATTGGTTGTGAAAGAAACACAAAATAACACAGTTGCTACTTATGGAAAGCAACATATAAGAATGGAAGGCAGTTGACAGAATCTGGCACAGAGACTAAGGAAGCCATTCTTCTTCACTGTATCTATCAACTTGTGTGATGTCTTCATGGAACAACATTTTGCCAGGGGTTGGTGGGGATGTGCCTAGTGCCAAGAAGCAGCCTGTCCCCTTGCTTCTCCTGTGACCCCACCTTTGCCCGTGCCCAGCCCTCATCATCCTCAGACGTTCCTTGGTATGACCTGTTGGCTTACACTCCTGACCTTTCTATCCCATGCTTTTCAGACTAGTGGAAACCCTGATTAGAGAAAAATATGACACTGTGGCATTTTTTAACCAGTACCTTGGAAGTTTTCTCAAATTATTTATACCCTTCTAAAAGGTATTATATTCTATCAGTGCTTTCCAGTCTAAAAACCAAATTGAAATTTTTGATTTATATGTTCTTCTAACAGTGGTATTGAAGCAGAAGTCACGGACAGCAGGAAAGTGTATTAGCTTAATGGCATTTTCTTTCTAAGACTGAGTTTGGAGGAGAAAGATAAACCTAGAGCTATTTCAAGTTCAGAGGAATTTCATTGTCACTGGTATCAGTGATACAAATCCTATTATTACTGGTGTCTAAAGATACAAATAGCAGTATAGTTTTAATTTTTATCCTAGGACTATGCCTTCAATTTTTCCTCTTATTATCATTTAATATGAGTGATTTAGCCATATTATAACAAATAAAGAAGGCAGAAGCATGCATCGTCTCATAAGCCACAGGCTCTTGCAAGTGGTGATATTCATCAGCTTGAACTGGAACTGTGATTCACATCCCTGTCATGTGGAGCATTACTATAACAAAAGTAATGGGCGTCAAATGTGAATTTACTCGCTTTCTTTCCTTTCCCAAGAGTAATATAAAACTGTTAATGTCTTCCATTAACATAATTGTTTTCTCTCACAAATGTTAATGAAAATAATGTCTGGAAATTATAGACCAACCAAATCTCATTGACTTCAATTTTATTTGATAAAACAAAACTTACTTTAAGATACTGTAAAAGTTTTCATTAGGATTATGTTGAAGGCATGAATCTTTGATGGCACACATATTCAGACAAAACCAAAAACATATATGATCACAGTCAGCCCTTTTTATCTGCAGGTTCTGCAGCCATGGACTCAACCAACTGTGAATAGAAATTTTCAGAATAAAAGTTGCATCTATATTGAACCTATACAGACATTTTTCTTGTCTTTATTCTCTAAACAATATAACAATTATTTGCATAATACTTGCATCGAATTAGTAATTCATCTCTATTTTAAGTCAAAGATGATTTTAAAGTATGTAGGGGAGGTACATAGGTTCTATGCAAATATCATGACATTTTATATAAAAAGCTTAAGCCCCCAGGAATTTTGGTATCTGTGGATGGTCCTGGAATCAATTCCCATGGATACAAAAAAAAAAAAACCCGTATTTATACTAATTAAATTCTCAGTTAATGCTTGGCATAAAATTATAAAGTCCATTGGCCAAAATTATTATTTGTTCTATTTCCAATATGACATTAAAGTACCTGCCATCCCTATTAAACTTCCCAGTGCAAAAAAAAAAAAGTAGTCATACTCAGACAAAAACCACTACCCCATTTGTAAAATATGGATCTCAGATGATTTATGAGATGTTAATATAATGAGATGGAACTCAAGAAATAACTAAAACAAGACCTACTTTTTCAGTAATCACCATTGCCATACCATATTCCCAGCTGAGGGAAACTGAGGCAAGAAGATTGCAAGTTCAAGACCAGCCTGGACAACTTAGTGAGACCCTATCTCAAAATAAAAAATAAAAAGGTCTGGGTATGTATCTCAGTAGTAAAATACCCCTGAATTCAATCCCTAGTACTAAGAAGAAGGGAAGGGAAAGAGGAAGAAATTATATACAACTTTCAAATGTGGAACTCAGACCAATTTCAGCACAAAATGTTAAATAGAATTTCAAAGATGACAGCACTTAAAAATTAGATACATTGAAGAAGATAATTATCTTTTCCTCGTAACAAAAGCTATTAGAATCTTGAACATGTTTCCTCAGCATAGACCCTCCATGACAAAGTTTGTCACTGACATTCTATTAAATCTCTAAAGACTTCCCCTTCTAGCTGGGCTCAGTGCAGGCCCTGCATCCTCTGAAACACATTCTCCAATTCTCCAACACTCTTTAACAAAACCCCACTGTAAATTCTTGAAGTTTCCTATACTAGTAGTCTATTTATATCAGAGAAACTAAGGGACCAATAGAACATTGTACTTTTTTTTTCTTTTGGTACCAGGGATTGAACCCAGGGGCGCTGCCACTGAGCCACATTCCAGCCCTTTTTGTATTTTATTTAGAGACAGGGTCTCCTTGAGTTTCATAGGGCCTCACCAAGTTGCTGAGGCTGGCTTTGGACTCAAGATCCTCCTGCCTCAGCCTCCTGAGCCCCTGGGATTACAGGCATGTGCCACAGCTCCTGGCAGAGCATCGTACTGATTTGAATCCCCAGCCATATTACAGTGACTTGCACACAATTATGTACCCAGTAAATATTTTATAATTCTAAAACACAGGTAGGAATTAAAGATGACTTTGTCAGGTGTATGTGTGATTATGAAGTTAGCAAAGATCAAGAAAGAATGACACAAATTTAATACTGGATTGACAGGTTAAAATTTCTCTAGCATTTTTCCAACAGACTGATGGACCCAGGATTACAATCCAAATATCATTAATTTATTATTTTGTTAAGAGTATACTTAATGGACCATAAAATTTCCTCACAAATTCTCTCATCTCTTTGCCAATGCACCTAAATAAATTGATCTATAAAATATGTACATTCTTATAGTTGTTGCTTCCCAAAATTTGCTGAAAGGTATTTATCATCTAATATTGACTTTTCTTTATATCTAATATCCAGGTGATTAGTGTCAAGGACATTAATTATGTTTTAATATAGTTCTCAGTTGTTAGGTGCATAAAACAATAGGGACCAATAGATTCAACATAGACTTCTTCAGCTGATCATGATTGCTTATGCTTTAATCTCAAAATAGATTCTGCTGAAATAATCTGGTCCTAGTGCCACTACACTGTGTGGAAATATATTGAGACGCACATTCCGATAAATGCAATTCTTAGGTAGTAGTAACTGATGGTTATGGTGATATGGGTGATGGCACTGATGATGGTAACCTTGGAGTACTGCTTCAAGATGCATAGTGCATCACTGCTCAGTATGTTGCAGACTATATCACTACGGCATCCAAATAGAATGTAGGAGACTTCCATTCAGGATGTTTTCTGATGTTGTGCAGCAGGTCACTCATAAAACACACCAAGTCCCAGATTTGTTTAAATCAAAGAGTCTTTAYTCCGACCAGCCTGGACTGCTTCCCACAGGAGCAAGTTGTCTCTACAGAAAACAGCCTGGAGCTTCAACATTTTAGGTATTGAAAGGCCAAAACCACATCCAGTTTGTACAATTGTCACCAACATCCACCTCCAGAGCACTTTTTATCTTGTAAAATTGAAACTGTACACACATTCTACAACTACTCCTCCTTTTCCCTTCTCTAAGGCCCTGACAACTACCATTCCATTTTCTGTATCCAAGTCCCTCATCTGAGTGGGATCATACAATATTTTACTTTTTGTGACTGGCTTAGTTCACTTACCACAATGTCCTCAAGGTTCATTCATGTTGTAGCATGTGTCAGAATTTCTTTCTTTTTAAGTCTGAATAAAATCCCATTGTGTGTACAAGCCACATTTTGCTTATCCATTTATATCTATGGATGAACACTTGGCATGATTTCCCTATTTTCGCCACTGAGATGGTTGGAAGTGGAGTTACAGAGCCAACACAGGAAAAGACAGGACTGAGCTTGAGGAAGCCAGCTGTCAAAGATAGATAGAGAAGGACAAGAGGAGGAAACTGAGAATGCAATTCTGGGGGTGGGAGGAAGTCATGAAAACTAGAGGAAGATGGTTTTTCAGGGAGAAATAGTCCCAGTGTTAAATGATGCTGTTAAGATTGCAAAGAAAAGAAGCTAAAGATGCCCACAAGATTTGATAGCATGGTAGTCACTGGTGACCTTCAGAATTTTGACGTCTGCTTGGTAACCCTTCATAACAATCAAAGGTTCCTTGAACAGAGCTCTCCATCCTCCTGAATTGTTCTTGCTTTTCTCCAATAAATATTTACTATGTAGTGAACATAGTGAACTCAGATGACACACTTGAAGCCTTATAAATATATTTATGGTGTTTGGGGGATGTGATGAAACTACTCTGTATCCTTGTGGTTTCACAAATTTGTAGATGTATTAAAACTCATAGAACTTTATACCTCACAAGAATCTATTTTATTGTCTTTATTTAAAACTAAAAAGAAATATTAATGGTAAAGTTTCTTTCTTATATATGGTTGTGAGGTCTTGGATGTTTATTGTAAAATGATTCTTCAAGTCTTATAGGTATCTTCTAAATAGTCCTTGAATTTATACAAGATATTTTGGGGGGTCAGGGTGCTGGGGATTGAACTTACGGGCACTCAACCACTGAGCTACATCCCCAGCCCTATTTTGTATTTTATTTAGAGACAGGGTCTCACTAAGTTGCTTAGGGTCAGACTAAGCTGCTGAGGCTGGCTTTGAACTCGTGATCCTCTTGCCACAACCTCCAGAGCCACTGGGATTACAGGCATGTGCCGCAGTGCCCAGCAGCTTTACACAAGATTTTTAAAAACTTGAATATTGAATAAAAGCAACTAAAGTTTTAAATGAGGAACTTACAAGAAATAACCAACAATGTGGAAGGAAATATATGGAGATATATTTGTAAATATGTGGAGATATATGTCAATATAGAAATATGAAAAAGACAGTAATAAAAAATTCTATTTATCTCATTTTTTAACAGATAGGAATGGGTCATTTGCATGTAACAAATGATGGACTTCGCCTGGAAGGAGAATCAGAATTTTTATTACCATTATATGCCAAAGAAATACGCTCCAGAGTGGTAAGGAAATGATGAAAGATTTAAATAATTTGTTCTTTGTGAAAAATAAATAATGATTAAGTATTCAGTATTGATGGAAGAAATTTTTAAAAAGCATACATGTCCATACATTCATGGTCTTCTCTTTATTTAAAAAAATAAAAAACTTGGCTATTAGGTTGTGGAACTCATCTCTGATATTATATTCTATAAAGATTTTATTTTCATGTGCTTTGGATCTGAATGTGATGACCTCAGTAATTTAGGCCATAATTAACTAAAGATCTTAGAAATGAAAATTTTTACCAAACACCATTTAAGCTTTAATCAATGCAATTTCAGGGCATTCAAATTATCTTAGAGAAATTAGTTCCATGTAGTATGTTCTGCATTAGTTATTCTAATTACAGATTAAGAATTATAGAATTATAATTATGGATATATAATTATATAATTATATATAATTATAGAATTATCCATAATCGGGTGCAACATCATTATTAAATAATTGTGTGACTTTAAAAGTAAATCAAGCTGGGTACAGTGGTACAAGCCTGTAATCCCAGTGGCTCAGGAACTGAGGCAGGAAGATCGCAAGTTCAAAGCCAGCCTCAGCAACTGTGAGGTGCTAAGCAACTCAGGGAGATCCTATCTCTAAATAAAATACAAAATAGGGCTGGGGATATGGCTCAGTGGTTGAGTGCCCCTGAGTTCAATCTCTAGTTCCCCTCCCCCCAAAATAAAAATGAATCAAAATTTTCTTTATTCACCTCCAACGAATTCATAAAAAGGAAAGTCAAAAATAAAATACAAAAAAGTCAAATGATTTTTGTAATATATTCTATTTTTTCTTCTGTTAGACCATAAACTGTGTAGTAAACATAATCATTTTGATAGTTTATTGATAAATGATAATATTTGAAGAGTACAGCCTTCCTTTTCCTTCTGTATTTCTAAATGTGAATGGATCTTTTGGTATCTCCTGCCTGCAGAGGCTATACAGCTGCTATAGAGAAATTAGAAAATAACAGAATTACTGTTAAGAAACAGCAGATCTCGCTGAGAAAAAAAAACACTCCTAATGTAGATACTGGACCCTTTACCCAGCTCTTACTATCAGCTAGAGTAGTAGACACAGCATAAAACTTACATTTAAATACCAGAAAGATGAGATACCAGAGAATGCAAAGCATCTAGGTTGTTTTATGCAGTATCACTTCTAGAAATATCTTTTTGGAGGTAGGAGTAGACAAATGATACATGCATAAGTCTGATTCTGTGAGCTTATTCTGGCAATACAATTAATCAGATGACATTTCAGGGTGTTATAGACCTGTCATAAAGGAACGTGGAAAATTAAATCAACATAAATAAAGAATTCAAATATCAGAACATATCCTTTTTTCTTCCATATTTTGGAATAGATAGGACTGGTAGAATAACCTGATGATAGAAATCAGGTGACTAACTCAGAGTGAATGTAATATTCTGGAATTAATAACTTTCAGTAATATTTTATCAGACTTTTTCATCTCCGGTATACTTTAAAAAAAAACAGGGAGCAAAATTGCAAAAATATTTCAGATAAGCACATATTAAAGTCTCATAATGTGGTATTAATGGATATGTCAATCAACACATAAATTACATGAACAATTTAAATAGTATTTGATAACAAAGCGGTACAGAATTCTGTAACTAATCTGACCTTCCAACAGTAGCAGCCAGCAAACAAAACTGTGTCTCACCACTTCTGTATGCACTGATATGTTAGTTTTCTTTTCAAAGGTAAGTCTAGAAAAAAATTTTACATAAAATTACAAAACATAAATTACTTTATAAATTTGCAAAATCTGCCACATAATTCACTTATCTACAATGCTGGACTAAAAGAATTTCTTCATTATAAATATAAATCAGCATGGTGCTCTGATCTCTAATGTCTGATTATTCAATAACTCCTTGAAAACAATACTGAAATAATGCCTTAAATCCACTCACTCTGCCCATTAACCCAAATACATAAAAATTATTTCTGATAAGACAAAAAGGCTTTATAGGTTTAATATCCCTTAATCTAAATTCTAATAACCAGAGTGTTTGGGATTTGGGTTTTTTAAAAAAATATTTTGAAATATTTGCCTAAACATAGTGAACTATCCTGGGGATAGGACCCAAGTCTACACATGAAATTTCATTTATACTTTATATACAATACTTTATAAACATAGCCAGAAGGTAATTTATATAATATTTGTAGTGCACCTGGATTTTAACTGTAACCTATCATATGAGATCAGGTGTGGAATTTTCCACTTGTAGCATCATATTGATGCTCAAAAAAATTGCAAATTTTGGAGCACTTTGGGTGTTGGATTTTCAAATTAGCACTGCTCAACCTATATTTAAAAACATACTATGAACAAACAGAAATGAGACAGAACTATCTGGAGTTTTATTCAGCTTTTTCATCGCTCTGAACAAAATGCCCAACAAGAACAAATTAGAGGAAGAAAAGTTTATTTTGGCTCATGATTTCAGAGGTTCAGTGCACTGTCAACTGAACCCATAGCTCTGGGCCCTGGTGAGACAGAACATCATGGCAGAGGGGAATGGCAGGGGAAAGCAGCTCAGGACATGGCAGCCAGGAAGCAGAGAGGGAGAGAGTTCCCCTCACCAGGGACATGCTCCTAGTGACCCACCTCCTCCAGCAACACCCTACCTGCCTACAGTTACGGCCCCATTAATCCGTATCAGATTTACACAACAATTATATTATCTCATAACCTAATCATTTCACATCTAAGAATTCTTCCATTTGAAATTTGGGGGAACATCTCATAACCACACCATAACACCTGGTGATAATGATTTACTCAAAATAATTATCTTTGAGATTCACATTTCTGAAAAGAAGCAGGTAACCTACARCCAAAGCCCACAGAATAACAAGAATCAAAATGTCACCTACATGGATGAGACTCCAGCCAGACCACTGCATGAGACAGTGAGGAAGGCAGAAAATAGCTGTAACTACTGCCCGTCCCCCTTGAATAAAGCTGCACACCTGTGGGGAGGAGGCCAGGATTGGAATGTCACTGAGGACCAAAGCCCAAAGCCACTACTGTAAGACCCAGAGACCTTGGGATCCAAACAGAAATACAGGATACTCAGCCAATAGTGGCATAAACTAGCAAAAGTTTTTCTATTCTTACTAACAAGAAGCAGGAGGGGCAAGGACAGCACTGGTTCAGAACTCAGCAAAGGTTGGCTCCAGCATCTTTGCCATCCTCTGCTTCCCTCTGCCCCTTCACTAGACTACTGCTAGACCATATCCACGGCCCATGGCAGAGCACTGGGCCATATTGGTACCTGTGTGCCTTCCATTGGAAAGCAAGAACTTGCCTAGAAACTCCCGCACTGCCCTCAGCAGACTGCAGCTCACATCTCATTGACCAGACTTGTCACTTGGCTACCCTTAGCTGTAAGACAGGATGGGCAAACAAGCATTTAGTTCCCTGCCTTCACAGTGGAAGGCAGTCCTTTTCCAGTAAAAGAGTTGGAGAGTGCCTGTTGGCTCAAATGACCAAAAGTGAACCCCACAAGGGCCGAATTTGTATAGACAAGGGAATGAATCTTACAGCTCTAAACTGATCCCTGCTCTAAAAGGGGCTGGGCAGTGGCATCTAAAGATCTCATTTCATCCTGGAATTGTCATTGCCAGGTATAACTTTGGATGAGCAGTAATTTACTCTCTCTGAACTCAATTACTTCATCTCTATAATAGGTACCTACTTCATAACGTAGAAGATGAAATGAGGGAATCCCAGCTAAAACTATTGGTAAAGTGTTAGTTAACTCTTTTAATCATGATAGTTATTTTCCAACAATGCAAAAACAAGTATTGAGGTCACATCACTGGGCAAAATGTACATCACTTGAAAGATCACATAATTCCCTATTCTTTGGGAGGATATTCAGTTCTTCTGCATGAAACAATAACCCCTGAGTCCCACAGTCAGATTACTGCAGTCCTGTTGAAAACAATTATTTATATAAATGCAAGAAATCTTCTACACAACAGAGGCAATCATTCAAAATTATGATAACCCAGAAAACACTTACTTTATCATGACTTTAATTCCCAACAAAAAGTTTCAAAAACAAAGACACCCAACAAATTGTTAAAACTTTTTARAATTAAATTTATTTTTAACTGACACATAAAACCATAAAAATTATTTATATTAATGTAGTACTGTGTGATGTTTTGATATATGTATACATTAGGTAATGTTTAAATCAGGTTAAAAGAGAAAATATTAGATAATTATACTGGCCAAATTATATTGGTATATTACGTGCATGTACAAATACAGCAAATCCCACCACTATGTACAATTATAATGCACCAATAAAAAATTTAAAATAAGAAGCAATATAAAAATAAATAAATAAATCAGCTTAAATGTAACTATCTCCTCAAATGTTTATCATTTCTTTAAGGYAACAACATTCAAAGTTATTTCTTCCAGCCTTTTTAAATGGACAGTATACTATTGTTATCTATAGTCACCCTACTGTGCAATAGCACCCCAGAACTTCTTATGCCTAATTCTAACCTGATACCCATCAATCAGCCTCTCCCCATTCACCCACCTTCCTATTTTCCAATTTCTCTCCTTAAAATATGTCTTCTTTGGACATAAATAACAGCAAAAGGATTTGAATTCCTTGGAAAAGAAAAAGCAATAATTTGAACTTGAGCATATTAGACATTTATCTTGAAAACTGATGGGCACATTGTAAACAGTACGCATAGTATTACAAACCCATAAAATTGTTATAGTTTATGAAAAAATGTTTATACATTTATTTCTTTAACATAATGTAATCCAGGATTTTTCACAGTTTAAGCCAAAAATTTATAGGGTCCTAGGATCAGTGGCAATGGAGAAATTTTATATAACTCTGGCTCTTTCTACAGATATGAAGATATGATATATTTAGCTGATTTGGTAAATCTCTTTCTAGGACTCCTCTCTGCTTCTGCAGTCAACTCAGAATGTTACCGTCAATGCACGCAACTCAGAAGGGGAGGTCACAGGCAGGTTGAAAGTGGGTGAGTCCAACTTCCTCTCAGCACTTTGTATGCATGAGGTCCATGAGCAGTGCTACACAGATAAATTAATTTTTATTCTAAGGAATTCAAAGCTTATTTATGAGTAAGAAATCATAATTTTTCTAAATTATAAAATGTGTTGACCACAGAGAATGGTTAATACCACAGGAAGGGGTAAAGGAGCTGGAAGCACAGTATGAAATGCTTTAACCCAAATTGTTTTGTTTCCAAGAAATAKAAGACCTTTCAACTGAGTGAAAGGAAGAGAATATTTATTATAGCTCATGCGCATACACACACCTCTTAGTGACCAAAGTAAAAGAACTAAAGTAGCTGTTCTCAAGAAAACAGAACCAGAGCTGAGTGCCAAAAGCATATACATATTCTCTTCCTCCTTTCCTCAAATGTTACTCTTTCCATTTCTCTCACTTCTCTTTCTCTCTCCTTCTACCCATATACTCCATTCTCCTCCTTTTCAGGGTATCTCCACCCATCAGTTCCTTTTGGGTATATGGCTTCATCACTTCTGTCTCTACTGATCCTGCAGGGCCTCCCTGGTTCTGTTGTTCTCAGCATCAACCACTGTAATCTCAAATTATACAAATTCTAAAATGTCAACAAAGTCCCCTAATTAACCCAATTCAATCATTCAACCAACTGCCTTTGGGTCAGCTATGCACACCTATCCAATCAGCTAACGACATAGAATAAGGTCCCCTAGGAATGAGGTCACATGGAAGCTAGCAGAAGGAAAAAAGGACCAACAAGAAAGAATATGCACTTAACCCTCTTTATCTGTGGGTTCCTCATCCTCAGATTCAGCCAACCACAAATGGAAATTAATTTTTAATTATATCTATTCTGAACATGTATAAACTTTATTTTCTTCTCATTGTTTTCTAAAAAATATACTATAGCAACTATTTTCATGGCATTTACATTGTATTAGGTATTCTAAGTCATAAGAATGATTTAAAGCATAGAGAAATATTGTGAGTTATATGCAGATATTGTGTTATTTTATATAAGGAACTTAAGCACCTGTGGATTTGGGCATCTATGGGGATCCTGGAACCAATTCCTCATGGATTCTGAAAAGCAACTGTAGGTGATAGAAATAACAAAAGAGCACCTAGCTGGTGGAAAGAATGCATGTCATTCTCTATACCGCAATCCTACACAGATCTGTCAAATCTAGGAAATTGGATTGCCCTTGTGATTATCGGGAGGTAGATAAAAGGTACACTGCCAACGCAAGCTGATAACTTCYATTGCACTGTAAACAGCATACATTAACCAGATGATGACTTTCATTATACTGATACAAGGTGTTCCATTTTTTATGTTGTTTTAAATTTTATAGCATATTCTGAATAATGAATTGCATTTTTCTTTCACTTAAAAATGAAACGTTTGATCACTCAGTCCAGTGAAATTTCCAGTTGCTCTAGAAATGGACCTAAGTTGACCTAACATCCATATTTTTGAAACTTGGGATATCAAATTCTATTTTCCTAATGAGTTATACAGTATTACAATTTTTATCATTTCTTTAAAATCCTTAGCTGCCTAGATTTTAAATGTTTATGGGAGGTTTTGCTAATTTTTCACATTCATACAAAACGCATATTGAATGCCTGTGTATGTTTCTACATGCTGTTTTATCATAACATATGAAGAATATGCAATTATTACTTAGAAGCACCAAAAGTAGAAGAATTATTTACTCTTGTAAAATTTAATTCGCATAAATACTCATTTGCTTATGTATCTTTTTGTTAAATATGGGTTTACATGTAGCAAACAAAGAGCTCAGAAATAATACAAACATACCTCTCATTTCATAGGTAGACAAATGCAAGTACTRAAAAGCTAATTTTTTTCAAGAACACATAGCCATTTAATTGAAAAGTCAAAACAGGAATGACCCAAGAAGTGCTTCTCTCAGCTGGCTGTTTCCACTAGTCCTCCTGCCCATCAATTTCCTGAAATTACATGTCAGTAACTATTCTATTGGTTGCAAACATAGTTTCCACTTCTATCACCAAGGAATGACTAGGTKTTATACAGTTGTTGTTGTTGTTGTTTTTAAGTTACCCATTGAAATTACTTTGGTCCAAAATTTAAACCTCAAATCTTTAGTTTTAAACTCATGCCACATTGTTTCTAAATTCATGACTTATCCTAAACCTTTGTCCAGAAAGTCTATTATGTTGAGGACCTTGAGATAGGAAGTGTCACTCAGCTCTCCAAATTCAAGAGCCTTTTCAGTAAATGACTTCCCACAGTCAAAATCCTTCCAGCCTCATATTTCCTGGAAGATGTAAACTTGAGCCAGTTTGGATATTAAGTTGTAATTTATGGGAAGCAGCCAATTTAATCCTATTTAATTAAAGGAATAGCTATTTTCTATTCAACCACTGGGGGGGAATAACATACAATACAATCAAAACCAAAAATACTGATGAAATTCCAAAGGAATCAAACATTACAAAGCGTGTACTAGGAACTGGCATTTCAAGTCTTTGAACTAAATGATGCCAAATCATAAGCAACAACAAGGAGGTCTTACTAGAGGTATATGCAGCTCTGGCTACTAGAGCTAATTTTCCTTTAATTTCAAATAGCAAAAATCAATCAGAGTTAGCTTAAAAATAAAGGACACATCAGGAAGTGTGCAAATTGCACCTATCCCAGTTGGTAGGGCTAAGAGATGAATTTTCTGAGAACTGAGCCAGGCTGCAACCAATGTGTCCTACAGAAACAACCAACAAAACTAGGTATAAACATGCCCCACTTATGTCCCTGGCCTCTACCTCAAGGGATGTCTGCAGTTTAGACAGTCTAATCACTACAAATGYCCTGCGATCTTCAAATTACAATGAAGTAAACACAGTAGCTGTCAGTCAGTGTTTCATCACTGGGACCAAAACACYTAACAAGAACAACTTAGAGTAGGAAAAGTTTGCTSTGGGGTCCGTGGTAAGGTGGAGCATCATAGAAGAAGGGCATGGCAGAGTGTTCCCTTCATAGTAGCCAGGAAGCAGAGTAGGCAGGGGTGGGGAGCCAAGGAACAAGATATAATCTCCAAGGCCTTGCCTCCAGTAACCTACTTTCTCCAACCACACCCCACTTGCCTATAGTTACCATCCAGAACAGTCAAACTTTCAATTATCAACCTAGCAAATGTACTAATTCACCAATTAGGTTACAGCTTCACCTCTGAACATTGCAACATTATCTCACACATGAGCCTTTGGGGGACACCTAATAGCTAATCCATAACATTCATCCCCTGTCCACCAAATTAAATGTCTATCTCACAAAGCAAAATGCATTTAGTCTTATCTTTAAGAGTCCAAATAGTCTTAACGGTTTTAGCAATGCCCCAAAGTGCAAATTTAAAGTCACATCTGAGCCTCAAGACAAACTCCTGGTTGTGAGCCCCCATAAAAGTAAAAAATATTCCATATGTCCAACATACAATAGCACAGAGTAAATGTCTCCATTTTAAAAGGGAGAAAGAAGGGAATAGAAAGAAGAGATGGAACCAAAACCAGCCAGGCAAACATCAGTTCCTACAGCAACATGTTTGACATCGGGGCACATGGCAGTGAGATGTGATCTACAAACATTTCTGAGCTCCTGCTCCTATGGCCTTGCCTGTTGCAGCCCACCTGGCCTCTCTCAGGCTAGCTCTCTCCAGAGCCGGCAGCTTTTTCATTTTGGGAGACAGTCCACATTACTAGCATCTCTTAATTTCTAGGGTCTCCATTTTAGCTCCAGCTTTTCCTTGACTGCTATATGYGTCACCCTCTCAGGGGTAGCCCACAGGGATTTTGACCCTGTTACAATTTGCCTAACCTTCTAAGCCTTTTCTTTGAAATCTCAGTGGAAGCCTCCATGATGCTCTAACTCTAGCATCCTGCATTCCCAAGGAAACAGCACAACATGAGCAATGCCAAGGTTTGTCACCTGCTTGAGCAGTAGCTACCCCCACCCACCTTGGATCACAGCCATAGTGGCTTTTGAATCCCTGAGAGACTGAGCACTGTGAAAACAGATTCTTAAGAAATAGCTTTTTAGGCACCCAGGGTGCTCCCATAATGTCTTTTAAAAGGAGTTTTCTCTTTTACACCTTTGACCCCATGATGGGTGTGGTCTTGCTGATTTTTGAAAAGCCCTCAAAGCATTGTCTACTTTTCTCTAGTGGAAGTAATCTCTCTAACAACCCACCTTTTATGGCCCCAGTTTTATATGTACATTCTTGTCTAAACTGCAAGTGTTTAAATTTATTTTTCTGTTTTTTGCTCCTGGTTCTTACAGTAAAATGGATAAAAKTTTGTCAGCAATACCCACACCACCACCTGAATGTTGTGTTGTCTTGAAATTTTCTCTGCCAGATTGATTAGTTCATGACCTTTAAATTAGGCTTTACAGAAAGTCTCAGCACATGAGCAAAATATAGACAAGTCTTTTTGTCAGTCTTTACTATCCACATTTCCTTCAGCATTTTGGTCTCTTGAGTTCTAACCAGAATCACCTACTAAGYACTGTTTACAATATTTTAAGACTTTCTCAACCTGAATCTCTTAACTTTAAAAAAATAAAAATTAAAAAAATTAAGAATATAAAACTCTTTCTTCAAACCAGTTCCAAAATCTTCTTAACCAAATGGTCAGATTAGTCACAGCAACAACCCTGGCCTGCCACCAATTTGTGTGTTAGTCATTTTATCATCATGGTGACCAAAATACATGACAAGAACAACTTAGAGGAGGAAAGGTTTTTTTGAGCTCACAATTTCAGTCCATAGTCAGCCAACTCCATCACTCTGGGTCTGTGGTAATGTGGAGCATCGTGACAGAATGGAATGGTGGAGGCAAGCTGTTTTCCATGGTAGCCAGGAGGCAAAGAGAGAGAGGGAGGAGCCTGGGGACCAGATATAATCTCTAAAAGTCTGCCCTCAGTGACCTACTTCCTCCAGGCATACCCCAACT